CAAATTCTTAGCTCTGCATCTATTCAACAAACATTATCTTTAAAATTATGGTAAAATCCGCATAGCAAAATGTATCCCCTAAATCTTTTTTTTTTCTTTTGAGATGGAGTCTCACTCTGTCACATAGGCTGGAGTGCAGTGGCATGATCTCGGCTCACGGCTACCTCTACCCACCAGGGTTCAAGTGATTCTCCTGCCTCAGCCTCCCGAGTAGCTGGGATTACAGGTGCCCACCACCATATCCAGCTAATTTTTTTTGTACTTTTAGTAGAGATGGGGTTTCACCATCTTGGCCAGGCTGGTCTTGAACTCCTGACCTCATGATCCACCCACCTCAGCCTCCCAAAGTGTTGGAATTACAGATGTGAGTCACCACGCCCTGCCCATCTTAACCATTTTTAAGTGTGTATTTCAGTGGCATGAAGTGCATTCACTTTGTCACGCTCTCATCATCACAACCCAGCCACAGAACTCTTTGATTACAACACTGAAACTCCATACCTATTAAACAATAACTTCCCAGTCCTCTCTTCCCCAGCTTCTGGCACCACCATTCTACTTACTTTATGAATTTGATGGCTTTAGGTGTCTCTTGTAAGTGGGACCATACAGTATTTATTTGTCTTTTTGTGACTGGCTTATTTCACTTAGCATGTTTTCAAGATTCATCCTTGGTATAGAATGTGTCAGAATTTCCTTTCCCTTGAAGCTGGAAAATACCCCATTTTATGTATCTACCACACATTTTACTTCTCCATTCCTTCATCAAAGGACACGTAAGTTGCTTTCTGGGCTATTGCGAATAAGGCTGCTATGAACATGTATGTATAGGTATTTCTTTGAGATCCTGCTATCAATTATTTACAGCGTGTACCTAGAAGTGGAATAGCGGAATCATATGGGAATTAAACTTTTTTTTGAGGAACCATTATGCTGTTTTCCACAGCAGTGGCACCCTTATGTGTTCCAGTTACTCCACATTCTTGCCAACACTTGGTATTTTCTGTTTTCATAGTAGCCATCCTAATGAGTGTGAGGCGGCGCTTTGGTGTGGTTTTGATTTGCATTTATCTAATGATTGGTGATTTGGAGCATCTTCTCACGTGCTTGTGTGGCATTTGTACATCTTCTTTGAAGAAATTGAAGAAATATTTTTTGATCATCTGTGGGTTGCATATCCAATAGACATTTCCACTCACCTTCCTGCTGGGGTTTAATCTTCTCTCTCTCCTACACAACTCAGGGGTGATTTCTGATTAGTCTAAGTCAGTGGTTCTCAATCCTAGCTGCACATTAGAGTCACCAAGGGAAGCTTTAAAAAATACCCAGGTTGGGGCTGGGTGCAGTGGCTCTTGCCTGTAATCCCAGCTCTCTGGGAGGTAGAGGCAGGTGGATCACTGAAGGTTAGGGGTTTGAGAGCAGCTTGGCCAACATGGTGAAACCACATCTACAAAAAAAAAAAAAAAATTACCCAGGCGTGATGGCAGTCGCCTGTAACCCCAGCTACTTGGGAGGCTGAGGCAGGAGAATCACTTGAACCCAGGAGGCAGAGGTTGCAGTGAGCTGAGATCACACCACTGTACTTCAGCCTGGGCAACAGAGTAGACTCTGTCTTGGGGGAACAAAAACCCCCAAAAAACAGAAACAAACAAACAAACAAACAAACAAAACCAGGTTCGGGCCTCCTTCCCAGACCAATGAAATTAGAATGTCCAGAGCTAGTCCTTGGCATCGGTGTTTTCAGAAATTCCCAACTGAATCCAATATTCAAATATGCTGCCATAGTCCAGGCACAGTGGCTCATGCCTGTAATCCCAGCACTTTGGCAGGCTGATGTGGGTGGATTGCTTGAGCTCAGGAGTTCGAGTCCAGACTGGGCAACTTAAGGAGACTCCATCTCTACAGAAATTTGTTTTGAAAATTAGCCAGGCACGGTGGCGCATGCTTATAGTCCCAGCTACTCAGGAGACTGAGGTGTGATAATCACTTGAGCTCAGGGGTTGAGGCTGCAGTGAGCTACGATCATGCTACTGCACTCCAGCATAGGTGACAGTGAGTCTCTCTCTTCATATAGGTATATATGCTGCTAGGATTATGAAGAATTGTGAAACGTGGGCCGAATTCAACCATGGTAGTCCCATTCCCCTTGATGGTTACTGGATTAGGATTGGTCATGTGACTTGGTTCTAATCGGTGTGGCATGATGGCTTCCAGGAAATAGTTAATATTTCTGAAAATGACGTGGGATTAAGGGCTTCCGTCCTTTCACTAAGTATGACTCCTAGAGCTAGAGCAGCCCTCTTGAAACTATGAGAGGCACTACCCCGAGGTGTCAGAGCAGGAAGATATGACAGAATGTAGGTAGCTGATGTCAACTTGCTGATGTGACACATTTTGGAGGCACCCTACCTCTGGGATTCTGATATAACATAATGAATGGCCTTCTTAGTTGGCAGGGATTGCTTGAGGCCAGGAGTTCAAGGCTGCAGTGAGCTAGAATCATGCCACTTCCCTCCAGCCTGGGTGACAGAGTGAGATCCTATCTCTAATAATAATAATCATAAAATTAGCTGGGTATAGTGGCATGTACTTTAATTCCAGCTACTCAGGAGACTGAAGCAAGAAGATCACTTGAACCTGAGTATGAGGCTGGAGTGAGCGATTGTCATTGCACTCCAGCCTGGGTGACAGAGTGAGACTCTGTCTCTTAAAAAATAAAATACAATAAATGGCCTATTTAAGCTGTTGTGGGTTGGGTTTTCTGCCGAAAGTATATCAATGGTACACTTATTGTGTACTAGGGATTTCAGGAAGGCACAGGGATATCCTTACATGTTATGATAGGAAAAAGGAACCAAGGCATTGTCTTAAATAGACTTAACCCCTGAATCCTCATGTTGAATGTTTGAAGCTCTACTGTCCGGGGTTTTTAGGCTTTACTCAGAAGCAGATGAGACAGGAAACCAGGAAATTTGGACGGGCTGTACAGTCAGTCAGCCGACAGATCTGAACTGGAGATATCCTAAACTTAAATGTAGAGCTGGAAGCCGTTCTCAGCTTAAATGCTGTCTCTTCTATAGCTTACCTGGTGGTCCAGGCCGGCCAAGTCCTTAAATCTGGGTCCGTTACAGGGCTTGGATGCAAGACAAGGGAAAGAAGTGTGTTCAATGAGAACATTCTGAGTCCAAACCACGTAAGTCTTTAGAGATTAAACTTAACACCTTGGTGTGATACCTGAGCCCAAGCAGGTCACTTATTTAAACTAATGGCCAGCCAGGTAGTACTTACCGTGTTACCTGACTCTCAGGTTTATAGCAGGGGTAATATTCTCTAGCCTCTTCTTCCCTGCAAGAGACCTCGGTGTTATCAGATCAGGCCTCACCTCTACTACAGTGTCCTTCATTTACACCCATAAGGGTGCCTTCTGTGTAGGTAGTGAATTCACCATTCAGTGAGCCCCCAAAGTAAGGCCGAGTGAGGAAGCACATGAGATATTCTGTTGGCTGGCCATAGCTCTCTGTTGATGTGTTAATTAGAGCGTACACTCAGGACTGACAAATCCCAAGAAACATGAAAATGTTAAAAAATAAAAATAAGAAACAACCAATCAGCTGCTTAGCTAATCGCACTGTGTGACGATAAAGTCTCGGTTCAATATGACATAGTGAAAAGAACACGTATGTGCTTTCCGCCGACCTTTCAGAAGCTATTTTCTGATCTATTCTTGTAGAAAGTATCAAAATTTGAAGTGAATGCTGATGAATATTTATGAGTTTATGCAGATCTCCGCCTGTCAGTAACTCACACCTGGCCTTTGAAATTGCTTCTTTGGCTGTGTAGTCTCTATCATGAAGCCACAGGCCTGTATTAGTCTTCCTGAAACTAATACAGGAATAATTTTACATAAAATGCGTCTCAGTAATAGGATAAATGCGAAAATGTTGGGGTTTTAAAAAAAGGGCAAGCGAGAGAAAAAGCCTGTGGCATTCATTTAATCGGATCAGCACTAACGTTGGTTTCCACGCTATGTTGTTTGCACGGAAGCACCGCAACGATGCCTGCAAGGCTGTCGTGCACTCTGTGAAGACCCCTGAAAATAAAGGAATTTCGAGAGGCCAGGTGCGGTGGTTCATGCCTGTAATCCCAGCACTTTGGGAGGCTGACATGAACAGATCACGAGAGTTCAGGAGTTCAAGACCAGCCTGGCCACATGGTGAAACCCTGTCTCTACTAAAACTACAAAAATATTAGCCGGGCATGGTGGCACACACTTGTAATCCCAGCTACTTGGGAGGCTGAGGCAGGAGAATCGCTTGGAACTTGGGAAGTGGAGGTTGCAGTGAGCTGAGATCATGCCATTGCACTCCAGTCTGGGCGAGAGAGTGAGACTTGGTCTCAAAAAAAAATAAAATAAATAAAGGAATTTTGAGTGTAGAAACTACAAATGAACATAAATTGTACCCAGAGTGCAAAATATACTAAAAATTTCTGCAAGAATTTTGAGGACACAAGGGTAATGTGGAAGACACGGAACACTTTTTAGAACAATAAAAGGCAGCACCATACTTGGTGACAACCGTGGCAAATCTTAATCAGGGAGGCAGATTCTTCTAGTTAAAACACAGTCTCATCCCGGAAAGAGGGCCAGCTGGCCAGCTTCTCAGCTTCTCAGGGGAGAAGAGGCTAAATGCTAAGCTGGAGCTGGCTTTCTTGTGAGGTGCTAGAAGTCAGGAGAGGGGCTTCTGACGTTTGGGTACTTTGTGGACACATTCTGCCACTGGGCTTGGGTCTGGGAAGATGAGTGGGACTTAACAAGGGGACAGTGGCTTTCTTGGCACTTCTGGGCAATCTGTTGAAAGCATCTGTATGTACTGCTCCCTCCCACAAGCCCACCTTGGGATGGGACAGTATTGAGAAGTAATTGTTACAAGTCAGGGCTGGTCTTGCCCTTCTGAGAGCATTCAAGCTGATCATTCTCTGTTCATTCATTGTCTCACCAGAACTCTTCACCATGAAAATAAAGGCCACACATAAAGGGACTGAGAAAAGGAACCACATCAGAGAAGGAGCCAAATACAGAAACTTGGAGAAACAGGAGGGAATATGAGAATCAAAGGTGAGAACTTAAAATGGAGATCTGGGCCAGGTACGGTGGCTCATGCCCGTAATCCCAGCATTCTGGGAGGCCTAATTCACCCAGGGGTTTGAGACAAGCCTGGGCAACATGACAAAACCCCATCTTCTACAAAAAATACAAAAATCAGCCAGACGTGATGGTGGATGCCTGTAGTCCCAGCTACTCCAGAGGCTGAGGCGGGAGGTTGGCTTGAACCCAGGAGGCAGCAGTTGCAGTGAGCTGAGATTGTGCCATTGCATTCAGCCTGGACAACAGGGCCAGACCCTGTCTCAAAAAATTAAAATTAAATAATAAATAAATAATAATTAAAAGGATATCCAGAAAGAACACCAAAGAAGAGGGGAGATCTGAGTCAAGGGGTCAGATGATTGTTCATCCCTGGAAAAGAATGTGAAAACTCATGCCTCCGATGCTGAGTTTCCCAGAACACTAGATCCATGGTAAGATGAGTTTGTATCCTATGTCTAACCCCACCCTGCCCCAGGAATTTATAATGCAAAACAGTTTATTAAAGGCTCTGAGAAGTACTGCAGTAAAGAAATCCATTTAACTCATACTTTTTTTTTTTTTTTTTTGAGATGGAGTCTCGCTCTGTCACCCAGGCTGGAGTGTAGTGGCACGATCTCAGCTCACTGCAACCTCCACTGCCTGGGTTCAAGAAATTCTCCTGCCTCAGCCTCCTGAGTAGCTGGGATTACAGGTGCCTGCCACCACCCCTGGCTAATTTTTATGTTTTTTAGAAGAGATGAGTTGGCCAGGCTGGTCTCAAACTCCTGGCCTCAAGTGATCTGTACATCTTAGCCTCCCAAAGTGCTGGGATTACTGTACCCGACCAACTCATGCATTTTTATTTATTTACCTATTTTGAGACTGGGTTTTGCTGTGTCACCCATGCTAGAGTGCAGTGGTGCTATCATAGCTCATGGTAACCTTGAACTCCTGGGTTCAAGCAGTACTCCTGCCTAAGCCTCTCAAGTAGCTGGGGATACAGGCACATACCACCAGTAATTAACTTGTAACTTTATTTAAATACAGAACTTCTTTTTCTGCATTACCGCATCCTAGAGACATTCTATAGGGCTAGAGCTCTACACTACACATTTGTTACTTGCTGTGCAGCGTGTCGTCTCTCCTTGTCCACAGTGGTAAGTTCCAAGACCCCACGTGGATGGCTGACACTGCAGATAGAACCAAACCATATATAGACTGTTTTTTTCCTGTATATGCATACCTAAAGTTTATAAGTTTATAAGTTAAGCACAGTGAGTGATAAAGTTTATAAGTTAAGCAGAGAAAGTGATAAAGTTTATAAGTTAAGCACAGTAAGAGATTAAGAACAACAAGGTCGGGTGCGGTGGCTCAAGCCTGTAATCCCAGCACTTTGGGAGGCCGAGGTAGGTGGATCACGAGGTCAAGAGATCGAGACCATCCTGGTCAACATAGTGAAACCCGGTCTCTACTAAAAATACAAAAAATTAGCCTGGCATGGTGGTGTGTGCCTGTAATCCCAGCTACTCAGGAGGCTGAGGCAGGAGAATTTCCTGAACCCAGGAGGTGGAGGTTGCGGTGAGCCGAGATCATGCCATTGCACTCCAGCCTGGGTAACAAGAGTGAAACTCCATCTCAAAAAAGAAAAAAAGAACAACAATAAGAAAATGGAACAAATAAGGCCGGGCGCGGTGGCTCAAGCCTGTAATCCCAGCACTTTGGGAGGCCGAGGCGGGTGGATCATGAGGTCAAGAGATCGAGACCATCCTGGTCAACATGGTGAAACCCCATCTCTACTAAAAATACAAAAAGTTAGCTGGGCATGGTGGCGCAAGCCTGTATTCCCAGCTACTCAGGAGGCTGAGGCAAGAGAATTGCCTGAACCTAGGAGGCGGAGGTTGCGGTGAGCCGAGATCGCGCCATTGCACTCCAGCCTGGGTAGCAAGAGCGAAACTCCGTCTCAAAAAAAAAAAAAAAGAAAATGGAACAAATAACATACTGCAATGAAAGTTATGCAAATGTGATCCCTCTGTCAAATATCTTGTTGTACTCTGCTTACCCATTTTCAGACTGTGGTTGACTACAGGTAACTGAAACCGTGGAAAGTGAAACTATGGATAGGGGAGGGGGGACTAGTGTATTAATATGGTGGCCACAGGAAAAGTGTTTAGTGTGATGGGAAGAAGCATGAGACAATGAGAGGAACACCAAGCTAGGTGACGGGTCGGGGAGCTGATATGAGCTGCTGACTCTAATTCTGCATGTCTATGTACAAAAAAATCTATGTGCAGCTTATTTGACTGAAAATCCCAAATCAGAGAGAATTCAAATGACAGCAAGGTTTAGAACCCACTTATTCTCCTAAGTAGGTTAATCAGCTTGTCCAAGTGACTTAATCTTTCCAGGCTGCAATTTGCTCATCTGTAAAGTGGGAAAGTTAGACAACAGGATCTCTTGAGCCTGCCAAAGTGTGGAACCTCTGGGTCAAAGAAGCTCTAATAATCCAAAATTCCTTTCAGTTGGTACCAAGCAACTCTCCACCCACAGTCAAGAAAAAAAAAGTTCAAATAACTTGTAAGTAGCTTGACTTCCCACTGAACACTCAAGGGAATCAAATTACCTTCTTCTATTGGGGAACTCTGAGCACAATTGAAAACCAGCTTCATTAGCTGCCTGCACACAAGGCTAAAGCAAAGTCCTGGAAATGCATATTGTTTTCTAGAAGTATCTGCCTGGCACTCTCTTAAGGTTCTTCTAGGCAAAAGTCACAGGTACCCAACTCAAGCTTGTTTAAAAACAGAGAATTTATGTTCGCTCAGATAACTAAGACATCTGAGGTTGCATCTAGCTTTGGGGACAGAAAGATTTGAGGGCCCAGATAATGTTACGTGGATGTTGTCTTCCTCAACCTCTCAGCTCTGCTTTCTTCTCAATGGGCCTCATTGCCAGGCAGGCTCACAGTACATGACAACAAAGAGCCCTTTTTGAACCCTAGGCTTCATGGTCCCTAACTGCCATCTTTAAAAAAGATACTCCAAATATTTGAAGCAAAATATTAATTGCTTAGAGTTACTGAGCACTCACAACATGCCAGGCGCTGTTCTAACACACACGTACAAACTTACATAGGCCTCACCACAACCCTAGAAAGTAGATACTATTACATTTACATGCTATACACAAGGAACTAAGGCTCAGAGAGTTTAAACAGTGTGTCTACTTTCTGTACAAGTGATCTTGGGAAAATGATTTAATCTCTCTGTGCCTCAGTTTCCCCACCTGAAAAATGCCAAAAGCAACTATTTATTAGGCTGTTTTGTGGCTTACATAAGTGTATTAGTCCATTTTCATGCTGCTGATAAAGACATACCCAAGACTGGGCAATTTTTTTTTTATTTTTATTTTTTGCATTTTAGGTTTTGGGGTACATGTGAAGAACATGCAGGATAGTTGCATAGGTACACACGTGGCAGTGTGATTTGCTGCCTTCCTCCCCTTCACCTATATCTGGCATTTCTCCCCATGCTATCTCTCCCCAACTCCCCAACCCCGCTGTCCCTCTCCTATTCCCCACAACAGACCCCAGTGTGTAGAGCTCCCCTCCCTGTGTCCATGTGTTCTCATTGTTCAACACCCACCTATGAGTGAGAACATGCGGTATTTCATTTTCTGTTCTAGTGTCAGTTTGCTGAGAATGATGGTCCCCAGGTTCCTCCATGTCCCTACAAAGGACACAAACTCGTCGTTTTGGATGGCTGCGTAATATTCCATGGTGTATATGTGCCACGTTTTTCCTGTCCAAGGACTGGGCAATTTACAAAAAAAAAAAAAAAAAAAAAAAAAGAGGTTCAATTGGAATTGTGAGACTGGGGAAGCCTCACAATCATGGTGGAAGGCAAGGAGGAGCAAATTACATGTTAGGTCGATGACAGCAAGCAAAGAAAGAGCTTGTGCAGAGAAATTCCTGTTATTAAACCATCAGATCTGGTGAGACCCATTCAGTCTCAGGAGAAGAGCACAGGAAAGGTCTGCCCCCATGATCCAGTCATCTCCCACTGGGTCCCTGCCACAACATGTGGGAATTGCGGGAGCTACAAGATGCGATTTGGGTGGGGACACAGAGCCAAACCATTTCAGTAAGCATATGTAAGAACCAAAGGAGAATGTCCAGCACAGAATCACTGCATGCAACAAGAAGCCAATAATTCTTGGTACCATTTCCACTTGCCATTCTCTTATTCCCTGTCTCTTTCCCTCTAATGGTTCAGAAAAATTCGACTTTACAAATTCCATGGTCTGACTGGGCAGTGACTCATGACTGCAATCCCAGCATGTGGGAGGATGAGGCAGGCGGATTGCCTGAACCCAGGAGTTTAAAACCAGCCTGGGCAAAATGGTGAAACCTCATCTCTGCAAAAAATATGAAAATTAGCTGGGCATGGTGGCATGCACCTGTAGCTCCAGCTATTTGGGAGGCTGAGGTGGGAGGATTGTTCGAGATGGAGGTTGCAGTAAGTGGAGATGGTGCCACTGCACTCCACCCTGCTGACAGAGTGAGACTTTGTCTCAAATAATGATAATAATAAATTCCACGATCTTTAGTACTATTAGATATGATAGAAAGGGACACAATGGACTACAGCTGTGGATACAGGGAAGGAAGCCCAAAACAGAAAAGCTAAGCCAAAGCTGAGACCTAGATATAGTATTCACATTCAGAAGAGGAGCTGAAAGTAAGAACAAGGTCAAGGCTGTCAATCTAGCCTAGAGGGGAGCAGTAAGGAGACCTGTGCACTGGATGGCCAACCCCAGACACCCATGAGGAAGATAGTAATGCACTGACTTGGCTGGAAGAGAGAGTATGGAACCCAATTAAAGGTCATATGCTGACAGGAAGTCTTTTATTGACAGTGATTGCATGAAGAGATGGTGCTAAATAGTATTTATAACTTATATGGCAAGTTTTGCAACAAAGGTAGGATGTCACAGACCATTTAACACATGCCCTGGCGAAAAATACTTAATTCAATCGAGAAATATCACATCAAATCAATCTAAGCGTGGTTTCCATTGGAACTGGAATAGCTATTCTGGAATTTCCTGACCGAGCGATAGATGCTTAGAGTCAAAAGTTTTCTGTTTTTTTGTTTGTTTGTTTGTTTTTGAGACAAATTCTTGCTTGGTCACCCATGCTGGAGTGCAGTGGCACGATCTCAGCTCACTGCAAACTCCACCTTTTGAGTTCAAGCGATTCTCCTGGCTCAGCCTCCCGAGTGTCTGTTACTACAGGCATGCACCACCATGCTTAGCTAATTTTTATATTTTTAGCAGAGATGGAGTTTCACAATGCTGGCCAGGCGGGCCTCAAAATCCTGACCTCAGGAGGTCCACCTGCCTCAGCCTCCCAAAGTGCTGAGATTACAGGTGTGAGCCACTGCTCCCGACCTGGAGTCAAAAGTTTTCTGAGGCTCCATATTTCTCCTACACTGTCCTTCAAAATTACTCAATGCTTCTGACCTCTTCTAACATGCAGTTCCTAACCTATTAATCA